AAAAAAAAAAAAAAAAAAAAAAAAAAAAAAAAAAAAAAAAGAAAGTAGGGATGAGCCCTGCGGACTGCCACAGGCAGAGAACTGAAAGAGAAACACTGGCATAAAGCCCAGGGTCTCAAAATCAAAGCCCATATTCTGAAACAGGCATAAGAGGATTCTCAGAGTTGCTCAGATAGCTACAAAACAAGCTGTCTGCAAAGCTGGAAAAACTGTAAAATAACACCAGACAAAGTAGACTCTAAGGGATGGAGTGTCCGAATGAAACTAACAATGTGGCTTCTAAGTACACAAAGCAAAACCTCACAAAATTACAAGGCAATATTGCTAAGTCCATTTCTAGAAGAGGCCATTTCTGTTGTTGTTGTTGTTGTTAAACATGTCTCAGAAAACAAAGATCAAGGGAACAGGGAATTACTGAGGTTTGGAATTTTTCATAGCTGCTAATGGGCTCCCTCTACGAGGCATATGTTTATACTGATGTCCACTAGATAGTGACTGAGCATCCTCTTCAACAAACATGAAACATTTATCAAGCTGGCTGAGTACTTGGCCGCAAAGTTAATCTCTGTGAATCACAAAGGATATTCACGAAGGACCCAGGTTTGCTGGGTAAGACTCTGGGTGGAGAAGCTGGAAATGAAAATGTGGAAGGAGCTTGAACATTACTGTACTGGCAAACAGGAAGGCTTGTTGAACTGTGTTGGTGCAAAATCCCAGCTCCCACTTAAAAGGGATAAGGGAGAGTTTACACTGTAGTCAAGATGAGTGATCACCCTCTATAGGAACACTGATCTAAGTTTCCCCACAGTGCGTATTCCAATGCCAAAAGGTGTCAGGAAGTTTTATAGTAACAGAACAAAGAAAGCCATAAATCAAAACATTTTTCAAATACATTTGGTGGTAACATCAGAGGTAGATTACAGCCAAGAGAGAAATCTGTTATCTGCCTCAGATGCTATCTGATAGACTTCTTGGCCCTTTGAAGTTTGGAAACTAGAATTTGGTAAGTTAATACATTCCAAAAGGGTTTTTATCTGCTACCCACATGGTGTTAGATCCGGTTTTATCTGTCAGTCACAGGATGTTGGGTCCACTACAGAAGTTGGCAAGGAATGGCTTTGTGAGGGTCTGAAGATAGTCGGAAATAAATTACAGTT